ACGGCTCTTATATTTTGAAATAGATAATAATTAAATCTGTTTGAATTTAATGTTTTCAATATTATTCATATATATTTTTATTGTCAAAATTAAAGAACCAAACACATACTGCTTACTACATTGTTAGAAAATTGTTCAAGAATGGAAAGCACAAAAAAAAGTTTTCTTTTTTATTTAATTATAGTTATAATAAATATTAATTGTCATTGATCAATCATCCAATTCACTGTACCGATTGTCCAGCTGTTAGATGAATACTTCCTGGATATTTCACATTATTAATAGCAAGTATATTCAAAGATAAATTTCCAATTGCTAATGTAAATGTATACGATGATTGTCCATTTAATAATGGAGTTGCACTTATTGATCCAAAAGTATTGGGAATAAGTACAGGCAAAAGAAATGGTGATCGTAATTTAGGTGAAAATAATAATATACCTTTTGTTAAATCTGTATATTGACCTGTAATTGCAAATGGTAAATGCCATAAAACCATATGAAAACCATAATGTGATGTAACCCATGGTTTTCCTCCAATACCATAACCATCACTTGCATATAAACCATGTGTATTCCATTGATCATTTAATATTTGTCTTACATGATTTAAACCTTTTTTCGATTGTATTAATGCATTATCTAAATCTATATTAAACCATAAATTTAATACAGACCAATCTTGTGATGCACTCATCCATATAGAATTATCTTGTGGATTTGTTAATGGTTCTCGTTCAGTTAACATTCTTAAACCATATGGTGTATCTGCTAATCGTACTTCACTTTCTAAATGTTTTTTCATTATTGATATACTATATAAAGGACCTAAACCATATGTAAATGCTAATACTTGACCATACAATGCATGTGTAAATATTGCTTTTTCACCTTGTCCACCTGTATAAGCTAAGAAATAACCTGTATCTATACTATCATTATACCATAATAATTGATTAATTTGTTTAATAGCAATAAAGTATGATTCATAACATGCATAATATGTAGTTGTATCATTCATAATAGATGTTAATTCCATACATGCACGTAATGCAGCTAAATGCATGAATGAATTAAATGTTGTTGTTGGATATTGACTCAAATATGGTATGTCATATGTACATTCTAAATGTTCTGGTAAACCTACCCAGGTTGAGTAATCCGGCTACTGGATTCCGGCGGATCCTGTTGGAAACCTGGCTTAATCCGGTAAATTCCGGCTGGATCTGTGTTGGAAATCGCCGGAATCCTTGGTATCGGAATCCGGTCGGAAGTTGTCGGATGTCGGACCCGACGATTTCCGACGGCCGGATCCTATAGTCGGAAAAATCTGGCAATGACAGGATCCGATGTGTATCTCTTTAGTTTTCATAAATGCAGACTTCAATCAGTTTATTAATGATATGCATAAGTTTATTTTTAATTAGTTTTAACACACAATCACAAAAAAAGGTGTTATATAACAATAAAAAAATAAATGCGTGAAAGACAAGTTTTTCACATAGATAATTTGTTTCATGAGAATAACAAAAAAAAAAACAGAAAATAGTCTTATTTTGGCAATTGTACTACTTAATTCAGTTTTGGCTTATGAAGTCCTATGTAAAAAAAATTTGCTTTAAAAAATCACGAAATGATCGATTTTTAATCGATTATAATCATACAATTTTAATTAATAATTTAAGTAGTAATAATCATGGCAAAATCAGGTTTTAATCGATTATTTCAATTATTCTGATTATAATCGATTTAGAGTATTTTTTAAAAATCGATTATAATCAGAATAATTGAAATAATCAATTAAAAGTAGAATAATTCAAATAACCGATTAAAATTCGATTTTGTTATGATTATTTCTGCTTCAATTATTGATTAAAATCGTACGATTATAAGTGATTTTTAATGGATTATTTCATGATTTTTTAAAGAAAATTTTTTTTACATGAGACGTCACCAAGACCCAGTGAAAAATATTTTGAAAAAAAACGGAACAGAATGGTTTCATAAAAATATGGAAACCTTTTTTCTATGTAAAGAATGCGTTCATTTTGCTAGTGAATGCGTTCATGTTCAAGAAGAAACACTCTCAGTCTGAAGGAACTCGTTCTTTGCCGTTCCACAGTAAGACGGAATACTTTCTTTCCTATTGAGAAATTGTTCTCTATTTGAAGGGAAAGCATTTCGAACCATTCCTAAACCAGTAGAATCCATCCTAGTTCATTCTTTTTCGGAACGGCACAGATAGCAATCCATCGAAATAAGATCGCTTTCTTTTACGTTTTCTAGAGAAGCATTAAAAGAATGAATTCTTCTAAGTGATGAATACTTTCTGTTGGAATTAAAGCACATTTCGATTCAAAAATCAAAGATCTGAAGCAAAGCAGGTTGAAACTGATGTGAGAAATGGTGGAACCTTCAGCTAGTTATTCTTTGGGGATGCTACTTCTGATTTAGAAAAAGCATGATTTTAATAACGGTTTGAGTTACAACGATTTGGAGCACGCCATTCGATCGAGCTCGTTGAGTTACCCCGGAAATGGTCTTTTGATGAATTAAAGATTTATCCATTAATGATTAGCCGTATGATCAAGAAAGTAACCTTCTCTCAAGAAGAAAAAGCATTCCAAAAGTGGTGGAAAGCGTTCCAAAAGTGATGGAATGCTTTGTTGATCGTTCCGTTTTTGGAACGACTAAGAACACGTTCCAAAAGTGATAGAATGCGTTCTAGACCGTTCCATTTTGGAATGCTTTCCATTTTTTTCGGAACGTTTTCTTTTCTTAAAAAAAGGGCTTTCAATTTCTTGGAACGCATTCTCAACCGTTATTTTTTACAAATATTTTTCACTGGGGAGATGAAGATATTAAACATTTTGTTCACTTCTCTTGCGATGATGTTTACGTTCATTAGATAGAAATTCTGCTAATTTTAGTCGAATTAATTTGTTATAGAACTCATCGTAACGATCAGCAGCAATATGATATTTACTACGCAAAGCATCTAAAAAGAAATTTAGATCGAATACAAATATTCTGGAAATGATCTATGAATAGCTATATAATCATTTATACATTTATAAATAGCTAACTACAAGATACTGAATCAATTAGTTTCCAGGATGGAAAAATTTTCATCATTTGTCAAAACAATACTTTTTCTTTCACTAATAATAGTCAAAAAAGAAAATCGTCCTTTTTCATAATAAAAAATAGTAGAGCTTCAGTTATGGTTAATACTCTGTTGCAAATTCCAAAACTAGATTCACGGAGAGCTATTTTACCATGAATAAATGAAAAATTTCGTTGCAGTACTGTCTTAATCTTGCTCTAATAGTTTTAATAATTATAATATTACATACTATGGAGAAATTCGAATTTTTCAACATCTAATGGTTTTCTCGCATATTGATGACCTTCTGGAGGTAAGATTGAAGAGATCAATTCTTCATCTGAGAAGATTTTACGAAGTACTTGTCTACCATAATCTCCCACATTTTTTGCTCGAATACGTGTTAAATTAATGTTGTTGTATATCTAAATGGTAAAGTAGAAAATAAAATTGAAAAAAGTTTCAAACAAACCACGTCATCGAACTTTTGATCTTGACTTGATTCACGAAACGAAGAAAGATCAATCTAGAAAAGAATAATTCAAAACGTCATAGTAATAAGATGAAAGTACTTACTGCATTAAATTGATTTTTACGATCAATTTTTTTTGATAATAACATATACTGTTTTTCATTTTCTTGTCGAATTGTTTTAAATTGAATATCGATATGTTTAATCAGAGACGAAGCTACAAAAAAATCGATTATGCATTAATTTCACTGTAAAGAAAGTTAAACAATTCTCATTTGATGGAGATGTTAGAAGTTCATGATTATTTTCTTCATCACTAGAAAAATCACCGCCTAAAATAGAGATAGCGAAAAAGAACAGCTTATTTGTTCATATACACTGTAGAAATAAAACTTTTCATGAGTGTAAAATGTGTAGAAGCTATACACATCCTATGGAGATTCTTACGTTAACCTGTATTTTGGATTTGCTCACTATCATTAATCTCAGAAGAATTTACTAAATTAAAATTGTTAAATATCTAAAGGTTACTTCATAAGTGATAATTTACCTTGAATATTTCTTTGAAGATCATCAATTGTTTTTTCTGTTTCAGGATGTACTGCTGAAATACGATGATTAAGTTTTGCAAGTGGATCAAGTGAAATGCGTTTTTGCTGAGGTGTTCGTGATTTTTTTGATAAATCTGGAGCTGAAAATATAATAAATAAGAATCAACGTTAATTCTATCAAAATGGAATGAAAAAGTTCTTTGCTAGGAGAACAATTTTTTTAATTAAGTAATATTTTTTTTCTGCAAGTCCTTTCGAGTAAGGGTGTGGGTGTTCATTTCTCTTTATCCACACCCACACCCACACCCACACCCACACCCTAGGTAATGATTACACAAACAGTCTGGATTTCTTTTATTGAGTATAGATGGTAACAGTAGACAGGATCATGAATCAACGAATATTAATGTATTTACTTTGTCGTCTATCAATAGAAATTTTTGATTATGTTTTTCATTTGTGTTTGTTAATGAAGCTCAAGAATTTCAGCATACGGAATTTACGATTTTTTTCAGCGAAAAGTATTGAGAGCCACCTCATACAATGACTTCAGAATAAACATGAGCATGAATAATTCAAAGTTTTTTTTTTATTAATTTTTTCTCGGTGAGAGAATTTTTCTCTCTATACGTATATGTTCCTCTGTATTCGTAACTGATGCCAGAGACGACAATTGCAACGGTAGGTTTCATGTCTCTTGACAATCAGAGAACGTTGCTTCTATCTACAACAAATGAATGCAGAACACGGACACGAACAATTCGAAATTTAAGTTTTCTTTCTTGTTTTTGTAAGATATTGGTGTAGGTATATATATTCGTTTTTGGATTATACATGGGAGCCACTATAATGAGTTAGTTGTGAGCTACCAAAACTTATGAGAGGTTTATTTATTCGTTGAGAACTTATTCTATATAATTCTTATGAAAGAACTGTATAGGTTTGTCTAAACATGCTAGAAAACTTATCGAAAGGTCTACATAGATTCCAACGGGAATACATTTTGGTAACTGTTGAGCTTCGATAAAAAACAAAAATTCTCAATAGTTTGTCTCTTTTTAACCTTTAGCCTCTATCGTAGTCATTCGGACATATTGAAACAAGCTTCTGATTGCAATGTTCCATAATATTAAGCATGATGAAGACTTATTCTTGGCTATGATAAAAATAAAGTGATTCGATGCGATCGGAATTCATTTTATATCATCTCTTCATAGCAATTGCATGTTGTTTTTAAAATTTCATTGATTCATATACGTTTAGAAACTTAAGACTGCCCTCAAACAAGTAGCTTTCATCTATCACACAGAACAGAAATAGTTATGATAGTTAATCACTATAGCTTTATTATGTACATGGAAAGTAGTAAACAAAAATTAATATTTTCATTCCTTTTATGCTAGTTATTATAGTTGTTTTTTATTCACCAAAGTAACTCGTATAAATTATTTACATTTCTTCCATCCAGGGAATCGTATCACATTTTAAGATATAAAGCGCTTTTAATGATAAAAAAAACTTTTTTAATGATACACAGATTTTATACAATCCTATTGATTCATTTATTATGGTACTTTTGCTGAATGTTGTTGACTACTATTCCCTGCAGCAGTGCCTTGAAATATTTCATTAATAATGGTACGAAAAATGTTCTAGAATCGTTAATAACACGGTTTCGATTTCGCTAAGAGTAATTTATTTCATTTTCAGATTTTTTTCTTGCTAATCAGCATAAGAGCAACTGTAGATGAGTAAACTATATGTTCGCTTAGTTTAACTTGACTTCAATCATTCATCATTGAATGAACAATACCGATGGATATCGATAATTGCACAACATCAATGTCAATATTGATCTTTCCTACGACTGAGGGAAATTTCTTTTTGACAAAATTAGAAGGACTATAATAATGTTAGTATCATATTTTAAACATGTGTCTTTGCTTTGTGAAACTTTAGATTAAATACTACAAAGCATTTTTACGACATTAACACAAACTTCAACGAACATCAATTCATTTGGTAAGTCTTATGTTTATATAATTATGTTGAGGGATTGGTGGGATTTGTCTTTCGTGGGTTTACTTCTTCTAGTGGATTCAATTATGTTCTCCCTATTTATTAATTATGATAATATTTCAGTATATACAGACCCGTGATGATGTCAATGCATCGTACACTCTCACTCACGTCCATATATATATACCCTAACTGTCACCCTTCGACTCAGCCAGGAACCCGATACGATCTGTCCTAATCTCCTTAGGACCTTATTAATAGATCTCAACCCAGGTCGAAGAAAACGTTTCATAAACGGCCTTATACGTCATAATAACGGCGTAAAACGTTAAAAACGGCGACGTAATCCGCCATACCTGATTACGGTGTCAGAACCGGCGAATAACGATGACCGTTTTCTAATTAAAAAACTGGCTTCAAAACAAGCTGACGGATTCAGACGAAATAGGGTGAAAAATGATAGAAAGAAGCATACCACGATCCGGATTTCGTCCTTTCTCAAGGGACTCGTTGAATTGCCTAAGGCATCTTAATTGGATTAAAGTCAAAAATAAAATAAACATATCACATATATATATATATATATATTAGAATTAATAGATCTATTGTAACTAATAAAACCACTTACAATTCCTATAGCTATTCAAAGTAGCTACACTAAGCATCCCAATTATTAGAATCAGTGGTATCTATAACAATGACAGAAATTACTAGAAATAGGGGAATTATTAAAATTATTATATTTACTCTAACTCCTGGAATGAATAGAATTACTAGAATTAAAGGAATCATTTCATTTAGAACTATTGTAATATTTACCAGAATTCACGATAAAACTTTTAGGATAACTGAAATTATTGAAACTATCAGAATTTTTCCGAAGAAGTATGATTTGCTAGCATTGATCAAATTAGTAGAACCACTAGAAGTGATCTGAATCAGCTGTCATGATCTAGATTTCGTACTCTTTATATTTTTATTGGAATAAATTCTAGTAAACTGGAAAAACGATAAGCAAATTTTGTTCTATCTCTATGCACTCTTACTCAGAATGGATTAAATATTTGTATATCCTAATTAGATCACGTAATAAAATCTATCGTTTTCAGTTGAGAGGAAACATAAACAAGTTATATTCATTAACTAACTGTTTTTCTGATATTAAGAAAACAAAAATGAAACTAGTGACCATCATAAGTATATTCCCTTTATGGAATTATTTAGAAACTCAAAAACACTATAGTGCCATTCACGTTAAACACATAATGCATCAAGGCCTACATGAGGGTGCGAGGAAGGACTTTTCACGAGATGCGACATCGAAAGAACAGGGAATGTATAGAAGGTACAGTTTCTCAAGTAGAATCACTGATAGTATGTATAGGTGGAGAATCGAATGGTTGCCTATTTGAACAAATGAATTAAGAAAACTTTCAAAATTAGATAGTTAAATAGTTGAAGAATTAATTCACTACTTGAAAATTCATACTAGGTTCAATGATCAAACAATTCAAGCATAGTTCAATAGTTAGATTGAGGGTGTCGGTGTGAGTATAGCTTGGCAAGATCCAGATTTCGTCCTTGCTTAAGGAACTCGTCAGTTGCCTTTGACTCTGTCGTAATTATCTTGAACGATCTAAATAAAGATCACAGGTAGATTACTTTAACGTATGCTGAGTTAAAATAGTGACATATTAATTCGATTACAATCAAGAATCAAATTAAATTATCATCTATACTATCGTATGAAAGCAAAGTTTTTGACGAAGTATAGATAAAAGAAAATAAGGGAGATGACTCTGCGATTGGTATGGATACCACGAAGTTTTCGATCCCTGGAAATACTTTATCTGAGCGATTAAAAAGAAAGGGGTGTTTTAGCATAGATGTATATATGTCTCGCTTTAGAGCCATTGCAAACTATCGGAAATTGTAGAGAAGCAGATTTGAGCATGGATACTTAGGTTTTATAGCCGTTGAATATCTAAAATAAATATGAATTGTCCTTCTACCGTTAAAGTTATGGTTTAAACAGCGAAACACATTAAACTCAAGATTCGTTTTAGAAGTTGGCAGCATGTTTTAGGATTTCATTAAAGTACGGAATACATCAATATTTACCTCTGAGGTTTCAAGTTTGAAATCGGATTCTATTTGTAACTTTAGATGCTATTCGAAAAGCCTATTAAATATTTGAAAATGAAGAATAAATATTTTTCAAAAAGAATAGTCATTATTTCGCGAAGCTTCGTTTGTTGCTTCAATTTCATAGATCTAAATATATTTAGTATGCATCCATACTTCTGTCTAAGTCATCAGTAGTTATTCAATATTAAATATTATTAAGAAACTCATGTAAATTTATGGCAACATATGGCAGGTTTCATCTAGCTCTTAAAATGACTTGATGAAATATGCATGCGTAAATACTTCTATTGAATGAGTTATATGAAACCGGAATCGATTTTAAGATTAGAAACCGTTTTTGTCTGAGACTTATTTCAGTTGGAGTGCTTGAGACGGTTCTTTCGATATAGTTATTATTCTCAAGTACTTCAAACTTCGGTCGTCAGGAAAGTTTGTATAATTCTTCCATTAGTCGAGCATATGTTTCACATACGGTGAATTTCGAGTGCTGGAAATACGATGGGTTTCGTTAGGCTTGAAAGCGAAACAGAAAAGACAAAAATGCATATTTATTACGTTTTCGAGGGCACATCGCGGCCACCGCATTAATTTTGTTGTCTGCTTGGGGCTTATGTATCTTTACTTTTTAAAGAATAAATATTTTCCAGTTTCTTTTATGTTTACTTTACAAATATGAAGGTTCTATTTATTTTAACTCTTCAAATATTAAGATTTGATTTGCAAATATGCTTGAATGTAAAGTTGTATAAATGTAAACTAACATCGTTAGTGCCCAGTTTTTTGTCTTTATTAAAGGTATTTTCGACTGTAAGCCACCACACGAAGCGTTTTGTCCTTGCTGAAGTGGCTCATCAGGTATATTAACAATCTACTACTATATTTCAATTCAAAACTCTTCAATAATAAT